CACTTCCAGGTCCCAGTTGGGGTGATGGGGTACAGTCAGTGCCTTGGTGGGACTGGATGCCAGGCAAGAAGGGAAGGGCAGTGGTGCTCTTCCTGATGGTGATCAGAACATTAGGGTGTGGGGGACTTTGTGAAGAGTAGGTGGGACTCTTCAATTTGACTGTGGAAGCCCTTTCAGGGGGAAATCTCCTGAGCTAAATGTCTTAGGGGTGAGTGGAGCCCTAGGGGTTCTTATTGGCCCTGGAAGGTGGGACTTTTGTAAGGATGGCAGTTTTCCTAGGTAGGTAGTGAGATTTATGGATTACGTGTCCCAGTATCTAGAGAGGTGTTAGGCTTCCTGAGCTGACTGGGAGTGATGGGAAGATGGGAAGGGGCTTCCTGCAAGATGTAGGAGGGGTAGGCGGGACTTCCTGAGAGGGTTGGATGTCTGGGCAGCCAAGTGGACGTAGGGCTTTTCTGTTTGGGTTACAGGCCTCTGGGAGGGAAGTGGGGACTTCCTGGTGGTCGGTGAGACTTTCTGAGCATATGGTCGAATGTTCTGAAGGATGGATGGGGACTTCCTGAATTAGAAAGAGCATTTCCTGGGGCCAGCAGATGGGGTAGCAGTTAATGTTATTGGACTACCACATGGCCAACTGCAGTTCAAGTCTTGGCCCCAGTGGCTTGAAAATTATGCCAGCCAGGCATGTGTGCATTTGTGCCCAAAATCCCAGGAAGAGAATGGAAGGATTGCAGCATGGCCATCACCTGTGGGGAGTGATTTTTGCACTTTCTCTCTTATTCTCTCTCGTTCTCGTTTTCTCTCTCTCTCTCTCTCTCTCTGTGGCGAGCACACACACCCTGAGGCAAAACCTCTTTTTTTCTTGAGAGGTTTTTGCTATAGGGCACATGCACTAGTCAGAAAGACTGAGACAGAGACACAAAGTGAGAAATCACCCCCCAGGAGGGGATGGTCAAGCCACAATCCCTTCTCCTCTATTCTCCTCCTGGGATCTTGGGCACGCAAACATACTCGTCCAGGGTGAGTTTAAGCCACCGGGTCTGGGACTCAAACCATGGTCAACAATATGAGAATCCAGTGACATAACTATTATGCCAAATGCTGGTCCCAGCAAAACCTCTTAAAAGGAAAAATAAAGAGCAACTCCTGACTTGTGAAGGGTGTTCCTAAATGGGATTTGAGCTTTCCTTACGGTGAGGAGCAAGGCCCTAGGTTGATTTTTTTTTTTTTTTTGAGAGGTTTTCGCTTTAGGGTGTGTGTGCTCGCCAGACAGACAGAGAGACGTAGAGACAGAAAGCAAGAAATCACACCCCGGGGGGATGGTGTCTTTCTGGTGAGCGCACACGCCCTATAGCAAAAACCTCTCAAAAGAAAAATAAAAAGAAAGAAAAAAGAAAAGAAAAGGCACCTGACTTGTGAAGGGTGTTCCTAAATGGGATTTGAGCTTCCCTTATGGTGAGGAGCGAGGCCCTAGGTTGGTATTTGTTCAGAGGGCCTGGGGTCTCCTGCATGGGCATGCTCTGAACTGATGGCGAGTTTCTCCAGTTGCCTCCAGCTGTGCTTAGCTGAGACTACTGAGTGAGGTCAGGCACTGTGATGGGTCAGCGACTTCCAGCACGGAGAGTAGGCTGTCCTGTACGTGGATGGCTTTCTGAAAGGAGGGTGGGACATCCTGCATGGGGTAAGGGACTTCCTGAAGGCTGGCTGGATTCCTTTTGGAGGTGAGGACTGGCAGGCAGGTAGACACCACCACCACCCCCAGTACCTGTTGAGGTAGAAGGAGAAGACGGGCTTTTGCAGTAGCCCCTGCGCCACCAGCGAATCCAATGGGGGCTGAACTCCTTCCACAGCCAGGGTGGGAAAACCAAGGCCCAGTATCCCATCGAAGTGGGCAAAAGTGAAGACCAGGCTGGGCTGCCACAGAGCCTCGCCGAAAGTCACCGCCGCACCAAGTCCTCCAATCTACGGGCAGATTGAGACGGGGCCAGTTACTTCTCAGAGGGCATCACCCAGTGATCCCCGTCGTCCCTAAAGGCATGACTCCCAGGTCGGGGGACCTCTGGAAACAAGGCCCAGCTGCTGGGAAACTTCCTCTCTAGGGAAGCCCGCCCCTTTCCAGGAAGTTCCACGTCCTGGAGCCTAGGCCAGCTTTTCTAGGCCCAGGGCTTCCTGGGTGGAAGGTCACCCACAGTCAGCTTGTCCTCGCTCAGGATTCCGACTAGCCGTCCAGATCCATAATCAATGGCAAACTTGGTCCCATTGGGGTGGAAGGAGCTGGAGGCGTTGGAATCAAAGCGGTGGTGAAACCCTAGGTCAGAAGGTCAGAAAGTTGTCACTGAGTGTGGGGGTGCATCCCCAATGTCTCCTGCCCCTTTGACTTCCCCACGTGTGACAGTGTGTCAGAGGGGAGGGGTGTGGAGCCAGTCAGTGGTGCCGTGGTAACACATGACACTCTGAAGGCCAGCAGATAGCGTAGTGGTAATGTTGCTGAACTCCCACATAACTGACCAAGGTTCGAGTCCCAGACCCCGTGACCTGAAAAATCACGCGAGGCACATGCGCATCTGTGTCCAAGATCCAGGAGGAGAATGGAGGAGAAGGGATTGTGGTGTGGCCATAGCCCCTAGGGGTGATTGCTCACTTTACTTCTCACCATCTCTGTCTCTCTCTCACTTTCTCATGGAAGTGCATGCTTCCTATGGCAAAACCTCTCCCCCCCAAAAAAGGACACTCTGAGGTTGACCCTCATGAAAGGTCCTGGATTTGTGTCCAGAGACCTCTCTGAGTACACCAAGCACTTACGAGCCATGATCCAAGGCTGACTGAGGCTGAGGGGGGATCGTGGCTCGGGGCCCTATTTAGGTGCCTCAAAAACCTTTGGGAAGGGACCCCAGATGGCGTAATGGTTATGTCGCTGGAGTCCCACATACGTGACCACAGTTGGAGTCCTGGATCCGGCAACTTAAAACACACCAGGCGCATGTGTGTGCATGCCCAAAATCTTGAGAGGAGAATGGAAGAGAGTGGATTGTGGCGTGCCCATCCTCCCAAGGAAGGGTGATTTCTTGCTTTCTGTCTCTGTCTCTCTGGCAAGTGCATGTGCCCTATAGCAAAAATCTCTCTCAAAAAAAGAAAAAACTTATGGGAAGCCAGAGCTCAGAATCCCCATCTCCCTTCACCGCATTCAACCTTATTCTCCCCCATGAAGACTCACAGCAAGGGACACTGAAGAAGTGGCATCTTTTGGATGGGACCCAGAGATTCGAGGAGCCAGTATCAAAGACCACAGAGAAGTTCTGCGGAGGCGTTCCCAGCCCAATCTCCCCAAAATATTGAACCTGATGGCAAGAGGAGACAGCAAGTCAGGAGTTTGGTGTGAGGGCACGGGGTGAGGCTCTGGGGCTATGGGCTGTGACTCACATCCATGAAGTTGGAGAGAGGCACAGAGCCAGGCTTGTCCCCAGGGGATGGGACCCCCAACCTGGGGGGCGTTTCCCATCCCCTCAAGGTGCTCAAGGTCCTTTGTCCAGGAGGGACTCTACGTAGAGGGATCCTGTAGGGATGAAGGATACCGATGGTTAGAAAGCTGTTCTTCCTGGGGACCTTCTCAAGTAGAAAACAATGACCAATTAAACACCTCCAAGGCCCTCCAGAAACCTGACAATGACAGCCTCCCACCATGATGACACACCTCTGCAAAGACAAGAGCAAACCCCCAGACCTTACCGAGGACCAGTCTGTATCCAAATACAGACATCTTTGGCTCGTGATGGTCTGACTTGGGGTTTTACGACCTTACAGAGGTGGGAAAGAGATGCGCGTTCAGTG